GCTTTTCTGTTCCCTCCTCCCCATTCTGTTTTTGGGGAATTACATGAAACGGACCATCAAATATTACAAATCACTTTTGGTCACACTGATCTGGGGCCAAGCCTACTTCTAGCCATACAACTGTTAGATTTGCCCGTATACCGAGAAGGCAAGGAATCACATGTCCCCAGGTGGAACCCATATCTTCTATCTCTTAGTGTTCCCGTCAAGTGGAAATCATTGTGTGGCTAGGCCATCAAATGTTTGGATCAATTGCCCAGTGTTATACCAAGAGCCCTCAACTATGATGTTGGGACTGCAATGTGTTTGCATGCCTTCGTATTTTTCCCTTTACAACCAGTTCCCCTGCTAGGACAGCAAGCATTGAACCTTTCTTGGCCTCAATACAACATCTTTAAAATGGGAATTCCCAAGATGTGAGTAATAGGGATCCTGTGAGGACAATTCTGATCAAGTCTTTAAAGTAGTTTATGTGTAAGTGGTTCATAATTGCAGATGTCTGCTGCAGCCTCTTTAAACTATAGCTTCCGATCATTTAGCGTTCATTACAAACAACAATACATATAAACTCAAAATAGATAATTTCTTCTGGAACCCTTTAAGGCAAAGTGAAAAGTTTATGGGAACATGATTTTATCTGTCTGTAATTGACACAGGTAGCATTTTTAACTAGTTCACCAACGACTTGACATGCTGCCAAGGGTGGTGCCAGAAAAATCACCCACTCTTATATCATGTTCTTTCATCTGAAGCTTTAAAGCACATCACATAGACCACTTAATTACATTACTCAGCAGGATGGGCAACTGCGTGATCCCATTTTGCTAATGAGAGTTAATTCAGACTAAGACAAAAAAAAATGGGACATGAAACTATATGAGAGTGTGATTGAATAACTGAGCAGACCTGTACTGGTTACAACTAAGTTTCATTCAAATTCATGCATCATACATTCTACTGCATGCCGTGGCCCAGTGGGTTAAAGCACTGAGCTGCTGAACTTGTTGATCGAAAGGTTGCAGGTTTGAATCTGGGGAGCGGCATGAGCTCCCGCTGTCAGCCCCAGCTTCTGCCAACCTAGCAGTTTGAAAACATTCAAATGTGAGTAGATCAATAGATACTGCTCCGGCAGGAAGGTAACAGAGCTCTATGCAGTCATGCCCGCCACATGACCTTGAAGGTGTCTGCAGATAACGCCAGCTCTTTGGCTTAGAAATGGAGATGGGCACCAACTCCCAGAGTCGGTCACAACTGGACTTAATGTCAGGGGAAAACCTTTACCTTTACCTTTTATATTCTAATATGTTCTGAATGGGTAAAACCTGTTTTGAAATGACTAAAACAAGTCTGTGCTGATGGATCTCATCGTGCAGTGGTTTTTTTTTGGGGGGGGGGGAGGTGGATGTGATTTTACTCAGCAGTCCCCATTTCTGTGAACCATGCAGTAGCAGTTTGTTTAGGGTAGTCTTCTATCCAGAGATTGTGGAGGAAAGGACAGGATTGAGCAGAGCAAGGCTGCAGGTGATACTGAACACCATGAAGCATATTCCAGGTGAGTCTTCCCTAAATTGGGTAGAATGTAGTGTAGAAATGGAGTTATAGTCCATCCATGGCACTTCAGTGACATATTCTTTCCTTAGCCCTCTTTCTTATGCAATGCTCAGTGTTATGGATTATAAAAGTGTGTTTTTCAAACTGGCTTTATAGGAAGGATGGGAATGATGTGGCTCTCCAGATGTTTTTGGACTGAAACCATCAGAAATTCTAACTAGCCTAGCCACTGGTAAAAATTGTTGGGTGATAGAGCCCAGCAACATCTGGCAAGCTGCATGTTCTTCACCCTCACCTCTTTAAAGACAATCCTTTGTATATTCATTGATGGGGGGGGGGATGGGATGATAACAATGAAACAGCTAGCAAATTGCCAGCGTTGATGACACCTTAGATTTGCTTCCTGTCTAATGGCAGGCCAAGTCCTGAACCAATCTTTGCTTTCTAAGTTTCTGAGAAATCTCAAGGTTCATTCAAAAGAAAAATGTCCCTCCGGGATAGGGCAGAATATAAATCTATTATTATTATTATTATTATTATTATTATTTATAGCCACACCTTTTTATATAAAATATTGAGATTTTGATTATCCCCTTGGCACAAACACCACAATATTTCTTCTTCCTGGACCCAGTATTTCCATGGTTCTGTCTCTAACACTGTTTTCATTTGATAATCAGTTTGGTCTGTGAAATAGCTATGGGTAGTTTCCTTTGGGAGGGTCTGCTGGGTTTAGGTTCAGCACATGCCTGAGGTCTAATTGCCATATTTAGTTTGCGGAAGCGGTTTCCAAATAGCATTGATTGAGTTTTCCTCCACTCCTCTATATACGTATTTTCCTTTAGGTGATCTTGCAGAACCAGGGCATGTTTAGCATCTGTTGATGCCATAAGTTGTTTCATGTTTAAGAGGCCCCACTGTTGTTATGTGCCTTCAAGTCATCTCTGCCTTATTTTCTTGGATTTTCTTGGCAGGATTGATTCAGAGGAGGTTTTTCATTGCTTTCTTCAGTAGCGGAGAGTGTGACTTGTTTGGGGGACCAGCAATCTCCTCCCAACCCAATATACCAGGCACTGATACTATATTTGTCCCCAGTGGCTATTGTTTCTTTCTTCCCTGGAATCTTGCTGAAGATCAGCACCGCTCTATGGACCACCACTTTGAATAAAACTGCTTTAAAGAAACAGTTCGCTTTCTCTTTAGTATGTATATGTAAATGTAAGGAAAGGACAGTGACTTCATTATTATGACAGACAACAACCTGTCAACATGATAGGTGTTGCAGTTGTTGAAATAGAAAAAGCAAAAACGATTCTTAGAGTAGCATCACCAAAGCTTCTTATAACTTTAGTGTAGGACATTTGCTACAGGAGTAGAGACTTAGTCTGGTGATCTAACTACAGTGAAATATTGTGTATTTTTTATTTTTATATTGTTCACTGTATTCATATGTTTCTTTGTTATTATTATGCTGTTGTTTGTGTTTTTGGTTTTATTTTGCTGTAATTTGTTGTTCAGGCTTGGCCTCATGTAAGCCGCCCCAATTATTATTATATTATATAATAATAATAAAGTTTATTATTATTATATAATATTGCAACAATACCCCCCCTTCAGAGTGCTACTAAAAAGGTAAATGTTTTCCCCTGACATTAAGTCCAGTCGTGTCCAACTCTGGGGGCTGGTGCTTATCTCTGTTTCTAAGCCAAAGAGCCAGTGTTGTCCATAGACACCTCCAAGGTCATGCGGCCGACATGACTGCAAGGAGCGTGTTACCTTCCCACTGGAGAGGTGCCTATTGATCTACTCACATTTGCATGTTTTCAAACTGCTAGGTTGACAGAAGCTGGGGCTGACAGCGGAAGCTCATGCCGCTCCCCGGATTCGAACCTGCAGCCTTCCAGTCAACAAGTTTAGCAGCTCAGCGGTTTAACCAACTGCGCCACCTAGAGTGCCACTGGTTCTTTAAAAATATCTTTGGGTCTTTAAATCATACTGGAAGTGAGTGAACATGTCTTCTTGTGCCTGGTTATCTTCTGCAATACTTTTTGTCACCTGTACATTGAGAACTTGAAACTGAAGAAAATCAATGTGACAATGATAATGGCTCATACACATATTTTATACTGCTGGAAGAGAATGGGTGCATGACAATTGTCCTGATATTCTTTACAAAATCTAATGGGAAAAGACCATCTATGTTTGAGTCAAACACATGGGTGTCTATGTAGGTCTAGATCTAGATATAAGCAAGCACACATCACACTGGCAAAATAGAGTGCTCATTAGCACCGGGTTTCACATTTCAAGTACAGATCACAGCTTGGAAAGTTATTTTTGGATGACATCTCCCAGAACCCTGAATTAGTATGGCCATTCTACATGGGTGTCTGAAAGAATATACCCTCCTTCTGCTGCTCCGTGTATCTCTTTGGACTTAAAATCTTCAGCTATGGTCTGCTTTTCCACACACACTCAGACAAATGTTCAGAATCTAGCTTGATCATTTTATGTAACAGTCCCTCCTCCGCCTCCCAAATCCTCATTGTCTAATGACCTCAGCAAGCCAATTCCTGACTTTAAAAACCTTGTGATTTGAGAACGTACTGTAATTGGGTCTGCCACTTCTTTTATTCCGTAGTTGTGTTTCAGATTGAAATCACTGTTCTTGTTGTTTTTGTTTTTCCTGCTATTAATGATGATTTTGTTTAGCTTCCTCCATGCTATAAAGCAATGCTCAACATATGAAAACATTCTTTAAAAACAGATGAAAACTGCTAGTCTTAGCACACAATTAAAACAAGGATGGAAGGCTATATAAAACATCCCACTCTTGATTGTACACCAGAAGTTCAAAAGAAATGGAGCCAGACTGGGAGGCAGTTCCACAACTGAGATGTTGCTACAAAAGAACACTCTGTCTCATTTACATACCAACCTAACTTCTTAGGCTGCATCTACACTGTAAAATTAATGAAGTTTGGCTCCACTTTAACTGCTATGGCTCAGTACGATGGAATCATAGTACTGGACCATGGGAGCTGTAGTTTTGCAAGGTCTTTAGCCTTCTCTGCCAAAGAGTGCAAGTGTCTCATCAAACTACAACTCTGCCAAAGAGTGCAAGTGTCTCATCAAACTACAATTCCTATGATTCTATAGCTTTGAGCCATGGCAGTTAAAGTGGTGTCAAAGCGTAGAAGCAGTCTTAGAATAGTGAAACACCCAACAGGTAGATTCATGCCAAAAGACATAATTTTTCAGATATGCTATTTCCAAGTTATTTAGGACTTGGTAGGTCAAAACCAGCACCTTGAATTTAGCTCTGAAACAGGCTGGAAGTTTGTGCAGTTTGTAGTTATCAGTTTCAGGCAGTTTCTTAAGTGCTGACCATATTATAGTGCAGTAGCACTTGATACTACTTGTTACTTCCAAAGGCTTTTCAAGGGTAGTCCTGCACAGAAGCAATCATTTAAGGAAGAGGAAATTAAGCCACAGATTGCTGTGTCCAAATCTACAGTCTATATAAAGAAATAACACTTACTGTTTGGAAAAGAAAAGAATCTCGAAGAGCAGGACTGATCTGCTCCAACATCCCACAACGCTAAGAAATGTTATGTAAGTATTGCTACAAATATATGAATAGATTTCACTGATGTAATTGAAGTGTACATCTGGTGCTTAGGTTAAAATGGTTGGGATTCAAAATGAAATTCATTCTGCCCTGGATCTTGTCTTTTTGCATCGTTTCTGAAATCATTAGCCAATGTGCTTGAAATTCAATGTACACAAGCCAAATTGTATTTATGTACACAAAATGTGCCACAATATTTTGTTGTTTGTGCTGTCACAGACCACTGGAAATTTTTAATAGCTTCTACAAATCATATAGCCATTGAAAATAATATTGGTACAAAGCTGTTCTAGACAAGTTGGTCATTTGACGTAGATATAAATTCTGGGGATTTACGGTGATAGCTATAACATGATCTTGGTTACTAATTGACTGATACTCCATCTGATGACAAATTACTTGTTTGAGTTCCTTTGCTGTTCCCACCCAATTCACAAGCTATTGGAAATGCTATTAATAACTTAGACTCACGTTTCCCCATCTCCCCAACTTGTAGATGGCATGGAGAGATTCTGACCTTATTTCTTCTTTAAAGAATTTCTTGCAAATTGATGTCCCAATGCAGGCATTGCATTTATCAAGTCCCAAAAAAGTCCGGCCAAAACTGTAGCTGGGCCTGACACGGGGCCCTGAAGATGGAGAGACTGCTGCTCCCAAGAAAGGACAGCAGCTCAGACTCCAACCCAGAAGAGAGAGCAGCAACTGGGGAGAAAGGTGAGGCAGGCAGGACCCCATCTCTGACATCTGATGGCAGCATAAATCTCAGCTTCTGATACTCTCAGTTTGTAACTCAATGGCATTTATACAACAGGGGAACTTTGGGCAATGAGACGTAGAGCTTTTTTATCTTACCAGCTGGTTGGTGGCTTCAGAAGTTTGGTGGGAAGGAGCATGGATTGGGGTGGGCACAAGGAAATACATGAGGATGCAGATAACTTGTGTTGCTATAGCTACCTTTCCTCTCCCAGGAGCAGCTGCTGACCCACCCATCATCAAATGCAGAGCGCCACAAAAGCTTTGCTCATCACAATGCTGGTGGAGACAAACAGAGGATATCCTGTCCAAGGAGACCAAGGTATGCAAAATGAAATTCAACAGGAACTGCTTCAGATATGGACAACAATTAGCATCTAGGCAAGTGAAGAAGGGAAAAGCCATCTGACGTTTTGTAGCCTTTGTATGTTAAAATGTGGAGCCTGGTGAAATACAAATGGCTTACAAGTCCCTTTCATACATATCTCTGCTCCTAACAAGTGGATTTTATGCATCTGTCAAGTTGCTGTTGTCGTGTTTCTTCCAGTCATTTCTGACTTATGGTGACTGTCTGAACCAGAGTTTCTCAAACTGTGCTCCTCCAGGTGTTTTGGACTTCAGCTCCCACAATTCCTAACAGCTGGTAAACTGGCTGGGATTTTTGGGAGCTGAAGTTCAAAACAGCTGAAGTTCAAAACAGTTTGAAAAACACTGCTCTGAACAAATCTTGGAACAATTTCTTCAGAGGGGGTTTGCCTTTGCCTTCTTCTGAGGCCAAGTGAGTGTGACTTGTGCAAGGTCACCCAGTGGGTTTCCATGGCTCAATGGGGATTCAAATCCTGTTCTCCAGAGTCCTTCTGTCTAATGCTCAAACCACTACATTATCCTAGCAAGTACCGTAATGTTTTTCTTCTGAATGCTTATGTCTTGTAAAGGGTTGCAGGATCATGTATAACCTGAAACAATATAACTTACTTCAAAACAAATAGAATAAGGTGGTCCCCTGCTTCCTGTAAGTATAAGTGCAGGAAATTGCTGGAACAGCTGCCAGATTTTTTCTCCAAATACAAACAAAGACATAAAAAGAGAGGAAGTATATTTAAATAGAACAGTATAACAAATACACAAGACTTTTATCTTAAGAAGAAAACCTTACATCGCTATAGTGATTTGTTGTTTATGCCTTTTGGATAAACACTAAACTATGTAATAAAAATAAGATAATAATGGGCTTGGATGAAAATGGATGAGCAGACACATTGTTAAGTCTTTAGCTCTTATCTAAAAATATGTTAAAAGCTCCAGTAGCATCACATTTATTTGAAAATAAAGATTCTGGGTAACTTTGAGGGGTTTTTTTTTTTAAAAAAAATATTTGCATCAATTGTGTCTATTTGGCTTCAATTTCAGCAAGATCCAATTCAAATCTCATTCTGAATTTTAAAGGAATACTCCAAAGGACTGAACCTTCTTGGGGAAGAGATTTCACCCCTTTGAATAGTCCTTTAAAGTATGGGTTCACTACTCCAGTAAAAGGAAAGCCATCAACCACCATGGATTTGCATTCATAGCCTCTGGAACAAATACCCAAATTCCACCATCTTCAAACTGTCCACAAATGAAGAGATATACCTATGTCTTTAAGAAAGGGTAGATTTACATATGGTTATTTGGCTGCATAAGAGAAGACATTTAATATTTACCCTTTTCTGTGATGTTTGTGTAATCTTTCAATGCAGATTTCCAAATCAGTCTTATAATATATATTAAAAACAACATATCTTTCTAAATGGCCAGTATAACACCAAATACAACAGCATTTGAGCACTCTCTTTTATTTTATTGCAAATTGCCCAGAAATCTTGCGATATGGGCAAAACCAGGCCCAGGGTTCAGATGTGGCCCCTTGGGCTCTTTTCTCAGGCCCTCCTTTCTCTCATCAGCCTTTCCTTCCTTCCTTCCTTCCTTCCCTCCTTTCCTTCCCTCCCTTTTTCTCCCTCCCTTCTTCCTTCCCTTCCACCTTTTCGTCCTTCCATCCCTCCCTCCTTCCATTTTTCCTTCCTTCCCTCCTTCTTCCCTTCCATCCTTCCCTTCCACCCTTTCCTCCTTCCATCCCTTTTGTCTTTCCTTTCTCCTCTCTTTACTTCCTCCCTTCCCTCCTGCTTTTGCTTTCCATCCTTCCCTTCCACCCTTTAGTCCTTCCTTCCCTCTTCCCTCCCTCTCTCCCGTCTTCTCCTTCCTTCCCTTTTGTCTTTCCTTTCTTCTCTTTTTCCTTTATCCTTCCCTTCCATTCATCCTTCTTTTCCTCCCTCCCTCCTCTTTTGTCTTTACTCCTCCCCTTTCTCTCTCCCTCTTTCTCCTTCCACCTTTCCCTTCTTTCTTTCCATCACTAGGCAGCCAGTCTTCTTAGCAGGGAGTGCTAGCATGCGGCCTCCAAGTTAGAAAGTTTGCCCATGCCTGCAATACAGGATTGGATAGAAATATTGTAAATGAACAAGCAAATCAAGGATATTTTTTTTAAAAAAAGTTTTGGCCACTTACAACTAATTGTGTGACAGCTGAAATTATTTAAAGTGAGAAATCCTTTGATTTGGGGAAAGGTAAGGAAAGACTCAGATGTCTTTTCCCACATGGAGGACACCCCAGCATAAACAATAAGAAAGCACAATAAACAAATACCCCAAGAAAAATGAAGCTGTGTATTTGAAGATGCCAGCCACAGATGCAGGTGAAACGTCAAGAGAAAATGCTTCTAGAACACGGCCATATAGCCCGGAAATCAAACAATACTCCACCAAAATAAAAAACCTTTTAAACATCATAGAAACTTTTTTTGTATTAGATCATTACTGAAGGAGACAATTAAAAAGGATGTTAAATATCCCTGCTTTATATCCATTATTTTATCCTTCTCCACACTCTATTAATACAAATGATTAAAAACAAAAAATACCACTACATAATGTCGCTGTTTAATCTCACCAAACTCATGAATGATGTTCACCAATTTGGATCCAAGTTGTACGTTGTATCCATTTTAAAAAATCAAATGAAAAAACTTGACTTATTGTATCCTTTGTATTATGTATACAAAGGAGCAGTAGTATCTGTAAGAAAGTGTGGGCAATTCCTGGCAGTTCTCACGCTGCAGCAAGAGGGGGAAATGCACACACCACCAGCTTGCTCCTGCCGTCTTGCATTTGCTTCAGGGACCCAAGTGCCTTATGCTGCTTTCATATGTGTTCAGGCTTCACTTTTTGCAGAATGAGGCTGGACAGGAACCCAATCGGTTTGCTTACTATACAGAATCTAATGGCTTTTTGGAATACAGGGAGAAAATACAGCTTTTCCAACAAAGTTTTTTCAGTTCTGATTTAATAGCTAGTGGCTACCACCTGCCTCGCTGCTGTCTTTACAAGTAAGTAACTATGATAAAAGGTACATCTTTTGTCCTAACCTCCCCCAGTAAAGAATAAATTCTTTATCATTCTCTTTCTCTGGTACCTCAAGTGAATGGTCATACTGAACTTGTTTTTCCCAGCATTAGATTTCAACATTTTTATCCCTGAAGGGATTTGTCTAGAGCAGAGGTTTACAAACTTTTTCAGTCACAGAGCCCTTTTTGAAGCAAAAGTTTCTCGTGGAGCTCCAAGAAATATGTGTGTGTGTGTGTAGATCTATCTATCTCAGCAGGAGAAAACTTTTGGACACAGGGCCCAAATTGCATTTAAAATTTTGACAGACGGGCTGGGCTGGGCCGGGCCACTGGCTGATGGATGGAGAAGGCTTGTGGGAACTAACTGAAAAAATGAACATATTCATATGCACATTGCACATAGCTTGCTTGTAGTGAAAAAAAAAGGAAAGAAAGAACATTTGAAGTGGAGAACAACATGAAGTCAACAGTATTTCAGTGGAAGACCCCAGGGGCCATCCAGTCCAACTCCTTCTACTATGCAGGAAAAGCACCATCAAAGCACCCCTGACAGATGGACATCTAATGACAGTCATATTAATGATAATGCTAATAATAATGTTGGAAGAGACTGCATGGGCCATCTAGTCCAACCCTCTTCTGCCATGCTGGAAAAGCACAACCAAAGCACCCCCTCAGATGGCCATCCAGCCTTTGTGATGATGATGTTGTTGTCGTTGATGATGATACTTACTTTACTTACGTCATCCCTCATTGTCTGAGTGTGATGGCCTTCCAAGTGTAGTGTCTTGGCGGTGAATACTACTACTACTACTACTACTATTACTACTACTACTACTACTACTACTAATAATAATAATAATAATAGCAGAAACCCCAGTGGCCATCCAGTTCATTTATTATTATTGATTTATTCACGATATTTAAACCCCATCTTTCTCACCCTGAAGGGGACTCAGAGTGGCTTTACAGAACACACATACAGCAAATATTCAATGCCAGTTATAAAATAACAAGGACAGACAACACAACAGGACAAGGCAGTTCAACTCACTTCTGCCATGCAGGAAAAGCACAAATACAGACACAGTAGCAGCAGTAGTAGTAATAGGAGCAACCGCAGGGACCATGCAGTCCAGCTCCCTTCCAACATGGAGGAAAAGCACAATCAAAGCACCCTCTGAGTGGTGGGAGGGAAATAGGGTTTTGGAAGCAAGGAAGGTGGTGGGGAAGGGGAGAGGGTCTGGGTGTTGAGAAAAAGAATCTGGGCAGCAAGGGAGGTGAGGGAGAAATGGTCTGTGCCCCAGGAGGATATTGCTGCTGTTGCTGTTTTGGTAGCTCCAAATTTTTAATTTCCCTGCATTTCTAAGGAGGAGGAAGGAGGAGGAAAGAGGAGGCAGTGGGAGGCAACATGGTGCCACGGAGCCCCTCACTATCACCTGCAGAGCCCCAAGGGATCCACAGAAACAGTTTGAGAACCCATGGTCCAGAGGGAGGATACTGATGCAATCTTGTTCTGACTAATGTAAGAGTCTTATACTTATGCATATTTCTTCTAAAAGGTGTCTAATGGTTTTCTTATATATATATATATACTACATCAGAGTTTTCGAAACATTTCATGATGGTGATATACTTTTTAGACATGCATTATTTTGCGACACAGTAATTCAGATTTATTAGCAAACTGGTGGTTAAACCAATCCCTGCATAAGAGATACAGAGACATACATAAATTATAATAACAAAATATATGGGGAAACATCATATCTCATGAAAACACACACACACACACACTATCTGATTTATTATTTATTTTACATAGACTCAGAGGTTTTCTCCTATGTTGGCTGACACACGAACACACTGAAGTTGACATAC